CATGATATAAGTCCTCTGAAACTATGTTAAAGTTGGTGCTTTAGCTGAAACGAAGAGTAATGTAGGGTGAAGTAAAGTAGGAAACAACTGTTGGTTTATCAAACGAACAAAGCTATCGCGATGAATGAGATCGGTGACAATCGCTTATTGGAACTAATTCTGCTGTAAAAGAACGCATCCTTTGTTGTCAACTACTGGTAGAATTCTCTTGAACAATGGCAGTTTTGATCAAGAAGGTGAGAAATTGTTTTGTGAATATCAGGAGACGATTTAAACGATGTTTCACTGCTACCTGATGGCGTACGTGCTGGAACCCAATTCTTTTGCCAAATTATTGGTGAGGATTGGAAGCCAATGATGTGGATTTCAAAATTGTAAGGGGATCACCAGAATAAATAGCATGCTTGTCATTCTCTATTCATCAGAATAACGTAATAAACTTCGTTCACAAATATTAAACTTGAAAACAAGACCTCCCTTATAGTCATCGATTAATGGAATGGATAGCTTGAGAATGGGTGTATTACTGAACTTACCAAGCCTAAATATTTCCACGATCAATTAGTTAATCCAAGGGACTAGTTGAGGAGTTTGATATGGAAGTGTGGTAGGTGGATTCTTTCAAATTCTTAACAAACGACTTACGCAAATAGAGAGATGATGAAACTTACGTAAAGACAAAGGAATTGGTGGAGAATTTCTGACCACGTCTTTCTTATCAATTGACAGGTTTTGAAGTGAGTATTACGTTGTACTGAATTGCTTTTGTTTAGTAGGTATATTGGCCAACAAATTGGCAAGTAGTATGGTTTCAAAAATCTAATAACTAAGTACGGAATGCACATGGTTGCTTTGCCATGATGATTTGCGTATTGACTTACTAGTGTGCTTGCCTCTCCTTTCTTCCTCATCGGTATTCATGACCTTGGTAATTGCAGTTTGGTATGTTGAGTGGAGAAACACTAGGCCTTTTTCTTACCTTGCTCACCGAGGTGCACGGTCTCTTTAACACCTCCGAGTTTCGCCTGGCGTCGCAAGAAATGGTGGGCATAATGGATGGCATCGATGAGGGCTTCTTCGCTTGGATCTCTCTCCTCTTCCTTAGCCAAAAGTCTTGTCTTGTGCCCTGCCATCCCCAGCTGCCTTTTACTGAAGCATCTATTCATCAGCAAGCCATCTTTGATCTGGGCGGTGGGTCATTTCAACTCACTTTCGGTGTTACCACCGCTGCCGGACCAAGCGAATTTGTTCACAACCTCCCTAGTGCCTACCTAGGTACTCAATTCTCTCCTCTTAGTGGCAAGGTATTCATTTTAATTTTCAACTGCTCCTATGGATAGAAGGGTTCAGCCCAGTTATCAATTGTTTTGGCCCGTTATTATAAGGCACCTTTTACCATCAAGGGGTGAAAGCTAGTGGACTATCGGCATGGATGTTGAGTAGGACCCTTTGCTACCGTAGTGGGGGTCGAATTTAGGTGGCAAAAGTTAAAATGAAAACAAACGCCATTGTTACGCACCTACCTTTTACGTTCTGAGCAATGTATCCGGCGAATTTTATAGAAACCTCCGCATATTCCTTCACAAGCCTTCTATGGGATTTTGGTTAAAATTTTCAGTCTTATGCTGTATAGTTAAGTGACGAGTTTGTTGAGTGAATATTAATAAAAAGTGTTAATGTATCAAACGACTTTTCTCCTGTTCAAACATCAAAGTACGAGTTTGAATCTCTACCTGGCCTCGTCCTATTTTGCAGAACTGGAGTTTGGGGTGGATGCTAAAGATTGACACGTATTTGTCACCTCCCTTGAGTCCTAGAGTTC